CACAGAATGTGGCGTCTTGCAGCAGCGGAGGTGGCGGTGCCGCTGTAGCTCGTAGACTTTGTAGTCTACCACAGTGATTACACTGCTGTCACCGCTCTATCACAGTCAGTGGTTGGTCTACACTGCTGTGAAATCGGTAGGCCCGAGCGAGCTTTGGAAAGAGAAATGCAGATAGATGTTCTTATCAACTGACTCCCTGGTCAGGCTTTGATGGGTGCTAGATGAGAGTGAGCACAAGGGGCGAAGGCGCGCTTGTGTCTCATCTCAACAACAAAACAAAAACAAAAAACAAGCAGCAAAAACACAGCAGGTTCCGAGGGTCTCCGGAGTAATGGCCCGAGTACCGGAATTTCGGGGTTCGGAACAATAAAACAACTACAGTCTCGCCTGCCAACATATCTCCGCTACAACTCTGTGCTCATGTTCTCTGCTGAGTACCATCTCTTCTTTCTGTATTATGTCTACGGAAGGCTGCTAGTTGCCGCAGTCGCACCTACGGTAAACTGTGCCTGACTACGTTGTAACAGTTTTCCTCGACAAATACAACCATCCAGGGTCACACAGAAGGGGGTAAACACCACGGCTTTTTTCTTCTTTTTATTTCTTTTCATGCCCCACCTTCCTCCTGCGGTGCGTGCTGAATTTTATTTTTATCGCGAGAAGGGTCCAGCCGTCCCTTTCCATCGTCAACTGTTAAGGAGGACCCGATTCGCAGGGTATCCGTCGATTGACTTTTACCTGAATCGGTACACCTTGGCATATATATGGCGTCGACGAAGAGATTCGGTACACTTTCGCACAACGGTGCTAACAACGTTGAAGTTTGGTACTCACGAGAGCTTGTCAGCTATATTTCGCTTTCACCCTCCTTGTCAGCTACATTTCGCTTTCACCCGCACATTTCGTAATTTTTTCACACCGTTGGGATTCGAACTCACGACCTCGGCGACTGACTAGCGGATTACGAGGATACCACTAGACCACCGGGGCGACCGTAGCAAGCCCCAGAAAATCCCGGCTCCTTTTTTTTTTCACGTTTGTTTTCGAGGGGAAACGCCTCCATATATATATGATAATGAAAAAGGGTGTATGCCCGACACGAGATAAGGTGCCCCAAGTCTTATATACTGACATGTGGTGCCCACATACCCCCCCGGATACGAGCGAGCGGACAGCTCAGCATCGTAGACAAATACGCGGGTACCACGACGACGTACCCCCCGAACGTAGCATGTATGGTAACCGGAACCCGACCGGCTGGCGGCGGACAAAATCCCCATTTTCACGTGGTGCCCACACGTGGTGCCCGGATTCGAACCCGGGACTTTTACATTGCAGGGGTGACATCCTGCCACTGACGCCACTGTAAAGAGGGTGTTTGCCCGACACGAAATAAGGTGCCCCAAGCCTTATATACTGATATGTGGTGCCCACAAATATGTCCGTAGAAAACACGCGCTTACTTCCTCCGTTAATAATAATAATACCCCTTATAACGCACGTTTGCAAACCCAAGGACTGCTGTCTGACTACTGCTGCCGTGGGTATGAATGCTGCAATTTATTTTGATGTTTTCTGGTAGGCTTGCGAGCTCATGACCTAAAATAATACGGGAATAATAAAAAATAGCGGTTTGACGCCGCTTCTCTGTTGTTCACGAGCAAAACAATATGGTTGTGCCCAGTAGTCTAACCGAGTTCGGGTGTGTGTGGTGTGTGTGTGTGTGCCACCCACACACACACTAGATAATAGGCGGTTGTTATTCGCTCCTTCTCGTATCTGGGGACTTCTGGCAAACAAGTCATCACCTACCTGTTTGCTGTAAACTAGTCTACTACTACTGCTGTAGTACTACAGAGTCAGTCATGGAAAGAGGGAGCAATGAAGCATGCTGCGTGATTCAGGATTCATTCAGAAGCGATTTGTGTGAAGGGCAATCGCAGGCGACTGCTGTCCATAATAACATGACCGGCACTTACGTTTGGATGCACCAAACTGTATGTATGAGCGACGAGGGCCGTCCATGAGGTAAAGAGTCTACCGGTGAATGAGTCCTCTCGCACCGCGCGGTTTCTGTTTTCTCTAGAGTGTGCTGGTTGTTGTTGACTGTTTGACTCCATGCATACATGCTCTGAAAGAAGTGACGACCGCGGATTACAACAACAGCACCATGACAACGCACATTGCGTTTTTTCTGTTGAAAGTGCTTGATTGTGCTCTGGTTCATCCATCGGAAAGGCACGAAGAGAATAAATGCTCCTCGATCCAGTAGTCTACGCAACAAAATTGATTCAGCAAACATATGGGATAAAGTATACAATCCGTGCTTTGGGGTAAAAGGATCTGTTCCTTGTTCCCTCTGTTACCCTCTCTCTGCCGCAAACATCGCCCATGATTGCCCTCCCCCGAATGACACAGCGAAACCGAATCATTGAACTCCTTTCCCCAGTTTTGGTATACACGACTTGGACGGCCCCCCACAAGTATCTCGCGAAGGTCTTTGGGTGCGGCGACATGGGAAAGTGTTGCCAGGTGCGTAAGAAGATAACTGCATGCCCCCACTCTTTCCATATTGACTTATTCGCTAGTTGTGCTGAATTTGTGCGGTGGTGAGAAGTTGGGGGAGGGAGGTGGTCCTCAACTTGGGAGATTTAGGAGATCGAGGCATCGAGTCCCATCCTATGCTCCCTGACGGTAGCGTCCGCGGGAAGGTCGGCAATGATGCGATCCGATTTCACGACGCGTTGCTGGCTCTACCACAAGCACATACATAATGGCGCACACAACGGAAGTGTGATCTGCCACACCTCCGCCACTGCAGTAGCCTGAATGGATTTTACAGCGATGCAGCCGGGCAGCCAGCAACCCTGATCTGACAGTCCCGAGCGACGCGTGAAATGGTAATGGTATGTTGGGTCCCAAAGCGTGCACACCTTAGTGGCACACCTTAGTGTTTCGAGGTGATTAAAGTGGCAACATAGTTCTGCGGGCGAGGTGCAAAGATTGGTGCACCAAGTAGGCGTCAATCTGGACCGAAAGAAATGCATCATTGCAACCTTTTACCCTCTACTTGTGGAGCGTGTGCTGCTGTAGCCTTCAATTTTTCAATTTTTACGAGGAAGGGCTGACCGCGGAGCCACCGTTCCCCGCGTATATTCTTTCGAGCTTTCGAGTGCTACAGCAGTATTCATGGAGGTGTTGTTCTTTGGATGGGCTTATCCACTAGACCACTCAATCAGCGCTAACGTATTGGCTCCATCCAACGAACAGGTACACCTACCCCGGTCGCCCCGGTGGTCTAGTGGGTAGCCTCGCAGCCTGCTAAGGGCCAGGTTATGGGTTCGAGTCCCGGCAGAGAGAGTTTTTTTCTCACTAAATAAATCCTGGTCTAGGATGAAAGCGACGCGCTGCAAAGCTCGTTTGTTAGTAAACCATAATCGACTTCGTAAGTCGCGAGGGAAGGGATTGCTGTACCCTTCTCGCGATAAAAATACCTCAGGCATGAACCGCAGGAGGGGGTCCAACCCCCCCCTCCTATGTGACCCCGGTTGGGTCGTCTAGCTAGTAGAAGTGGAGGATAGGGGCCAGAGGGGCAGACGACAGAGTCCAATGATGGGAGAAAAACAAACAACAACAAACAACCTCCCATGCGAAATCCTTACTCACACGCAAGTTCTCCCTCCAGAGAGTGGGCTCATGTGAGCACAGCAGTGTCATCAAAGGTGTGATGCAGAGGAAAATCAAGCAGGCAGCAGGACAACCCACAGCTGACGTGTTTTTGACTCGAACAGCCCAGCGAACCCTAACGAACCAAGAAGTAAACTACTAAGCTGTCTACCACAGTCTTCATACTTCAGCACGTGTCTCCTGTACCACAACAATACCGAACCCACGATGAGAGTCGCGGCAGAAAGCAGTTTTTTTCGGGTGGGCTCATGAACGGAGCTCCAAACATGCAGCCTCACGTGTTTATGGCACACACTGCTGTTGGGTTTGTGTCCATCGGCCGACTTCCACCACGGTGTCCGAGGTCCAGACAAGGAGGCAACCCCCAAGTCCCTTTTGTTCCCTTGACTTCCCTTGACAACAAACCCAGATGGTGATGGGGCCGGCGGGCACCGGCAAGTCGACGTACTGCAAGATCATGCAGGAGCACTGCCAAAACGCCAAGAGGACGGTGCACGTGGTCAACCTCGACCCTGCCGCGGAGACCTTCGAGTACGAAGTCGCCTTCGATATCAGAGGTGGGTGACGTTGCGAGGAGTGCTGATCATGACGACTGTCGATTTATTACGGTTTGTTCGGAGTGGGCTTGAAAGTGTAAGACTGGGTGAATCGTTGTACCAATGTCCTGCAATAAGCCCTACCTCGGGGGTATTTTTAATGGTAGACAGGTCCAACTTTGATTCGACGGTTGGCGACTGCGAGCCGCTGCTGGGTCGACGTGCTACCCATGTGTTTTATACGTCGTATCGTGGTGCACCATACATAATATTTAGTCCTGTACCTCGGCGGCATTGAGAGCTGTTGAAAAGAAAGTGTGTGGCACCAAGCTAGATCAGCTGGATGTGGACAGCAGTGGCGTTTGTTCGTAGAGTGCAGCATTGGGCATGGCAATCCTCACAGCCCACCCTCAACCGTCGAGTGGACACCTTGGTTCAATTTGAGGTCGCGTGAGACAGCAGTGCGCCTTGCGGCCAGTGAACCTTCCGAAGCCTGTGGCCGCTTCATGGAACGACTTCCATGTCTTGGAATGCCTGGCGCTGCGATTTCTGCAGACCTGATATCTCTTGAGGACGCCATGGAAGAGCTGGAATTAGGTCCGAATGGAGGGCTGGTTTACTGCATGGAGTACCTCCTGGACAATATGGACTGGCTCAAGGACGAGCTGGATAAGTTTGATGATGACGAATACATCATCTTCGACTGCCCCGGCCAGGTGATCACCTTCCTCTATCCTAGTGGAGCGTTTCCCTGTAGCGTGTGAGGCAAAACTGTAGTTTCGTCTCACTTCAAGGTCCGATATTTGTGTTCTTGGTGGCACTTGTTGCTGCGTTGCATGTTGATTCGTGTCCGTCACTCTGCTATGTTCACCGCGATTGCATGGGAAACGGTTGGGTGCACTTTTTTCGTTGCATTAGTAGGTGTGTCGATCCGGAAGGCAGGGCTGCGTTATTGTAAGGTACACCTCATTGAGCTAGAGCGCGTCTGTGCAATGGGCTGTGCCTCATCGTAGCCGTGCATCCAGCGCCGCCCGTCTCGGGGAAGTCTGTAATACCTCGTGACTCCCCGCGTCGTTCTGCCTGTCTCTGTCTGCCTGTGTCTGTCTGTCTGTCTGTCTGTCTCTGTCTCTGTCTCTGTCGCTGCCTCTCTGCCTCTCTCCCTCCACCTCTGCTCTCTGCTTCTCTTCTCTGTGCGTGTGTGTCATCCCCAAGGTGGAGCTGTACAGCCACGTCCCGGTGATGCGCAATGTCCTGGACCAGCTCAAGGTAAGGCTGCGTGGCGAGGGCGATAGCTGGGTCTGGTTTGCCATGAACATTCTTCACGGGTACAGGTGCCGAACTCCCCCCTACAACATCGCTGCCCACGGCTGACAGCAGCGTTCTGGACCCGCCCGTCCCCTCCCGCTTGTCGTAACTTGCTGGCAGTCTTGGAATTACAACGTTTGCGCGGTGTTTCTACTTGATGCCACGTTCATCACCGACCCTGCCAAGTTCATGAGCGGGGCACTGTTGAGCCTCAGCGCGATGGTGCAGCTCGAGCTGCCGCACTTGAACGTGCTGACCAAGTGTGATCTAGCGGACCGAAGCGAGGTGAGGCCGACACGGTGAAAACTTAGGGAGTTAACCGGGGCTAAATTCACTCTGTCCGCATTGCGGTGCCGCTGCTTGTCCATACCTCTTGGGTTTTTTTCATGGAGTGCGTGCTTGCTCCCTGTAACTCACCGCATACATTTTTCGGTCCTCGTCTTTCTGGCTGTCCGAAGCTTTTCGCGGTGCTTCAGAGGTGACACGGGCTAGCTAGTCTTGGGTCCATTCTCGCCATGACCGACGTGCGGCCATGTCGTTTCACACCTCCATCCTATCCTTTCTATTATATAATATATATAATAGTGCCGCGTCTGAACACGCGAGTCCTGCCATGCGGCACTTGCGCTCTGTCCAGGTGGAGCGGTTCTTAGACACGGAAAACGCCGCGTTGATCTCGATGCACTATCCACAAGCACAACGGGGGGTACACTTCGGGACGGCACCATTCAACAGGGGGGAGAGGGGGGGGGAGGAGGACGAGGACGAGGACGAGGACGAGGAGGCGAACGTTATGGACGACGACGGGTCGGGTCGAGGGGCGGGCGGCGAAGAATCCGCGGATGTGGGGACTGGAGCGACCACAGCACAAAGAGAAGGTGAGGGAGGGGAGCATGCGTTGAGGGATATGCTGTGGTATGTGATTGTGTCCACGGAAACGAACACATCAAACCGGCATGCTCGTACGTGTCCTTGCGTACCGCGTATGACACAAGACAACACACTCCCTGGACCAATTTTCAAAGGTCGAGTACGCCATGACGAAGAGGATGCATCAATGAAACAAAACATTTTCGGAAAGCTCTTGGCGAGAAGCTTTCACAGTTTTCGGCGCTGTGACTCTTTCTGTTGTTGAGAAATCGAGATTTGAAAATCGGTCCAGGGGGTGTGTTGTCTTGTGTCATTAACGGTAGCTGCTGCCGAAAAAGTTACCAGGATCTGTCCTCCTACTAACCACGCGCGAAATGCGCTGGCGTAGGCTAGTAGCATTGACATCCTGCTTGTGCCACTACCCTGTCACTCCCCTTACCAACATCGCATCCTCGTGACAGAGTTGCAACCACGGGGCAGATTACAAGTATTGGGCGCGCAGGGAGGCGTGGAAGGGGCTCAAAGAGGGCCACTGCCGAGATTGGCGCGACTAACGGAGGCTATCTCGGGTGTCCTGGACGACTACACAATGGTGCGTGGTGTGTGGACCGTCACCTTCTAGAAGCGCGCCGTACTCGTGAGGGTGCCGATTGACCACACGGGTGAAACGAAGAAATGCGTTCCTCTGGTCGTATGCGTACCTTTGAGTTAGACATGGGTCCTCATCGGTTTTGCCACCGATGTCATCCTCCCCAGATTCAACAGGATGTGGGGTCCGAGTTGGGGTCGCGTGGGTGTGCCTCTCCAAGTTCGGCTGTGTCGTGCGTTCAAGCTAGTCACGTGGCACTATTTTTTGTCGGCACGCCTCGAACATGTCTCGAACTTCCAATGTTTGGTCGGGTGAAATCTCGAAGGTAAACTTTTTGCCGCTGGATATTCGAGACGAGGAGGACATCGCCCTAGTGCTGCACCACGCCGACTACATAGTGCAGTACGGGGAAGATCTGGAGCCCAAGCAGCCCAAGGACGATGTGAGAGCTTGTGACGTCTGTCGCGAAACATCAGTGTTGTCGCGCGTTACACAGCGTTGTGCGCCAGATGCAGGCGACCGTTTGTACAGAATCTGGTGATGAACAAAACCTGGCCTCACTGCATTCGCGGTTGTTAGTAAAACTGCCGTGAAGGAGACTGATGTATGACGTACACACCACCGGCTAAGATCCTCGTAAATCAACACGAAACCACCCGCAGCTGTCAAGAGGAGTTGTTGCCGTATTGTTCAGCAATGCTGGAGTACAAGGACTACACGTACTCAGACCCAGAAGGCACGTTGATTCCGCTCGCAGACTGCAGGTTGATTGATTTCCAAGACTGGATGCAGGTTGGATAGGTGCGTTCCCCAGTTCTCACCCTGGACGTCCCGTTTGTTCCCCGCTGCCGCTCGGTCTTGTATGTGCAGATTGAGATGGACGGATAACGGTAGCGCAGGCAAGCCGCAAGAATCACTACGGCAATTTTGTCGGCAGTGCATTGATCGGCCTCGTTTCTTCGATTCGATGTTGTGCAGGCTGGGCGGATGAGTTGTTCGTTCTGGGGAGCTTGTTGATTGTCACACGAAAAATGCGCGGGATAAGACGGGAGTGATTCTCTTGAGTGTATGTCGAGCCAGCGTGGTCTTCACGTATACGGGTCATTTCCGCTCGCACCGGATTCACCCCCACCCCCGCCGCCGCTCTAACTAACAACAAGGCCGGTCTTGCGGCGCCCATGTGGCCGACACCGACACCGGGGTCACCCACGAGTGCTTCCACAATCGTGCGGGACAGCTCAAGGAACTGGCGTCAGGCTGAGCAATGGCTCACGTGCTACGAATAACACGATGCACGGCGGTGTGCTCGCGTATGGGTGCACACCAGGCCATTTGTCTTGACATTCAAAACCGTTCCGGTCTCTATTCAGTGCCTCCTACCATCCGTGCGGGTCCAACTGACCTAATCCTTTCCGTGGTCACTATGTAGGACAAGTACAAGAAGCGGGGGTGAAACCGAGAGGGAGGGTGTCCTTGACGGCGATATCTAATTACATGCTTGGACTAGGTATGTTTTTGTGACACGGTACACACGAGCACAACGGCCCCGTTCAATAATCTTCCAGGTTACAGGCAAATTTCTGGTACAAGTCGGCGTTCGAACGCCTCTCAAATGTTTTTGACTGACCAGAGATTGTAGACGTGACGCCAAGCGAAATGTCTAATATATGTCTCGTTCGGTTTGGCATGAAACTTGAAACCCAGACACGGCGCGGATACCCCTGCAACTCCAGCTACAATACACAACGCTTGCGGCACCTCCTCAAAGTACATTTTACAACGTGGTACTCTCAGGAGGGGTACCGTTACAAGTAGAGAGCTGCACGAGCAACGTTCACAACCTCACGTAGATGTAGACGCGAGCCATTTGCCAGCTCATGCGGAAGACACCCTCGTGCAACAGCCTCAAACCCGGATCAACCCCGGCAGCTTCGCCACCTCTATTGCTATCCTGCCGTACGCCCTGGTCGCCTTCACGCACTCGTGGGCCGATTGGCTCCCTGCTCGATTCCGGAGCAGGGATTGGTTTGAGAGAAATAATTCGAGCGCCCGGGCGGAGCCTCTGGGCGCGCTGAGCCAGGAGTGCCATCATACTCTCGTCGAAAAGCAAGGAGGCCACGTACACGACCCCCGCATCGTCCCTGCGGAAAAACACACGAGGTCGACCGTGGAACGGCAGGAAAAATTACGAGACGAGTGGGGTGTCGATGTCAGCTGGCGTTGTGTCGAGCCACGTCTCTATTACAGACGGACCAGGCACCCATCGGGCTTCAGCCCCTACCAGCGTCACGAGGGCAGCGACAGGACAGGGCTCATGCAGTGCGTCATCGGCCAATGGGCACGATTCATGGGCATTCCTGAATCCTGAGAACGCAACGGCGTTACTTTGCTTCAATGGAAGCAAACGATTGGAAATGCTGCGTTTTTGCGGTAGGGACACCTCGGAGTGGTGCGAATCACAAGTGCCAGCACCGAGTTGTTCCATGTGTACCGCGGTGGCCAAGCCAGCAGTTGGTAGCCTCCAAGTACTGCATTTTGACAGGGGAGAGAGGAGTTGAAAATCGAAATTTCGGTAATGTCTCACCATGCCTCCTCAAAAATATCTCCACAAATAAGCTCCACTCCTGCTAAGGACTCGGCTGTTAGCGGGCCCGGCTCCGGCAAACGCCTCCTGTTGACAACATCCTCGATGCTGCCGTCCTTGCAGATTGTCCCGTCGCCGGGGGTGGAATCATCACACGATAAACCCGGCATGGAAGAAGTCAAAGAACAACCTGTTGGCAACGCTTCACAAGTAGTAGACGGAGGCGGACTTCCGTCTTCCCACGACTTCCCATAGTCGATCTCTGATGAGTGACCCAAAGGGACCACCGTAGTAGCAGAGTTTGAAGCCGCTTCCGCGTCGTCGTGGGTGTCGCGGCAGGCTCCCCGACAATATTGCTCAACAAAGCCACTGCGGTGCATCGTCTCCTCCTCGTATCGCTCACCAGCCGCAGCATCCCTTGGTTGCGATGATGACGGGTGAAGGGCGGAGGGACATTCGTCCGCGAGGCAGACGGTCAACCTGGTTCCGTCTTCCGTGATTGACAAAAGGCTCGATGCGTCGCTCGCTCGTCTCCTAGCGACCAGGAACTTCTGGAGGCCGCCGTAACCGCGCAAGCTACTCTTATATCTGTTAAGAACCCATACGTGCCAAGCGCGGGACAACAACCATGATATCGTGTCCCCGGGGTGCGGCAACCTTCTGCACAGTGCTCCCGCGATAGGGGCTTCTCAAACGGAACCCGGGAACAAGCTCATCGGCAGGCTCAGACGGCAAGGTGATACTCACATTTCGGTGGCGGTCTGATGAATGTGTCGCAAGTGCCGCAATGCAAGGCAACCGCTGGGCGCTATGTTGCATGCACACCTGCAACAACCGCACCTCGATCACGCGTGAGAGGACCTAGCAAGACACACAAACACAGACTACAGGTGGGCATCCATCCACTTGCCGTCGATGTCCCATTTCGCGGACGAGCCAAGAAGCGATTTCCTCGGCGCTTGCCCCGCGCAAATCTCTCGCAGCAGTTGCGGTGGCGTTTCTACTCGTTTCTCGTTCCCCCCCTGCGTGTGAGGCCGACGCTTGTCGGCTTAGCAATTCCGCGATAAGGGCCTCCAAGTCACAGGCGTTCAAGCCCTGATTCAAAGCCTTGCTTCCAGATGTTTTTTTTCCCTTACGGCCACCGCCGCCACCTTGGCCCAGCTTTTTCTTTCCAAAAGATGCGCGAGCAGCCCCAGGTGTAGCCCTTTCGCCAGCCAACGCCGCGTCCATGACGTCGTTCGTAGGAACCATGTTGTGCGCGGGGGCTCGGGGCGTAGCGAGGAATGTCTTCGCAGTTTGGAGGTGGTCGGCGGCCGCGTCTGCTAATCCTTGAACCAGTTCAATCCCTCGGCACTTAAGGTATTGCAGCCATTGGACGATGTGTTTTTCGAAGAGAGGGGGAGAGGGACGGGCAAAAGGGATATTGAGGAGCAATGATGTGTTGTTGCTGACGCTGATATGCAGAGGAATGTTCAAGGGCATATATATGGCCGCTTGCTTACGATTGGATTAGACAGCGCGTGGTATCATGTTGGAACAGCATCTTGATCGGGTCGGGTATCGTCTCTTTCAGCTCCAGCCCGCACAACCCAATCATTCGCAATCGCCACCCGCACCACCAACAGCAACCGCAATGGTAACAACGCACCTTCAAGAACTCAGGGAACCCGCACGCGGCCGTCAGCACCGCTTTGCCAGTGCCGGATCCGAGGTCTACAAAAACCTCATTTTGGGGCTTGACCAAGTCCAGGATCGACAAGAAGTCCGGTACATCCACCTGATACCGAGCGAGAGAGAGAAACCCAAAACAATCGATGCATGTCGCTGCGAGGAATAGTTTGTGTGTTCAGGAGTATCTCAATCCAGCAGCCGGTATCCGTACGTACCGCTGCAACGTGTCACTGCTGTGTTGACGGTACCCGCCGCCAACTTCGTCTATTTACTCCGGCTGTTCATTGCACGGGCTCAGACAAGGTGATTGAGAAGGGGCGAAAGGTAAATCACTTGAAGCAACGCGAATGCCGGAGGGTAGGTAGTTGTTAGTTGGACGAGCTGCAACCATGAACACATGTACCCACAACCGAGGTGTGCGGGGAAACTCGTTTAAATTTCAAACTGGTGTGTTTGTGTGCACGTGCCCTCCCTCGCACCTCCGGCATAGCAGGGACTGCGGGTTCATTTGAAGAGCGCACAACTGACAGCGAGGCCCGCATACCGAGATACATGCCGAAGGAAGGCGTACATAGCATATGCATAGGGTACGGTAGTGCTCACCTCTCCATACGTCAAACTCCGCGTATCGTGGTCAACGAATGAACGGCGGTACTCAAGGGATAGCTTTGTGCCGTCGAGCTGCGCGTTCCTTCGAGAGAATAGCCACTTCAATAGCCCGAGCGTGTGCTTGCGACGTGCGATTTTCAATTTCGTGTCAGATCGCATTGTTGTTGCTGCCGTGCTCTGTGCTCCACCACGCACCCAAGGCCGCGATGCGGTGCTGGTTGTCCGCCCTGCTTCGGAGGGGCTACACGCAAAGGAGTTCCATATATAGGACTCACCTATGTGGTCCAAATGGTCGCCAGCCGCGGAGCTCCGCGGTTCACGCCGAAACGAAGAGCAGACACAGGACAGTTATTGCAAGAAAACACCCGCTCCAGGGAACGAGCAAACTGACTAGAGACAAGCGATGCCAGGCTGAGACGCGATGCCTTTCTTCCTGAAACCAGAGTGTGAGTTTCGTGCGAGCGGTTTAAGCTCCGCGTTGGGTTGGTGTTGAGACATTCGTTTTCAGCGTTTTCAGCGCTGGGGCATGTAGGGAAACCGTCGTACGTTCGTGAGTTGCCGTGTGCGCGCGCGTGTCGAAATGTGACATTCTCTCTTTGTGGCCGTGGCGGAGAACACGTTTGTCTGGCTGTCACTTGCGCAATGTTATCCTGTTGACAACTTCCACACGGTGATCTTTTCTCTCGCTGGTGTTGCTCTCTTTCTCTCCCTCTCTCGCTGTGTGTGTGTCTGTGCCCCTTCCCTGTTCTGTGTCCACTGCAGCGGGATCAGGTGCGTCGGACCTGCTGGACGAACGACTTCGAAGTTTGACGCTCCAGCTCAAAGCATCGGAGGAAGCATGCCAGACCTTGCTTCCCAGCGTGGAGGCTTTCGTCAAAGGAACCAGACAGGTGCAGTCCATGGTTTGGAAAACAGGGACTTATAAGGTTGCCGTAGAGAGCAGTTGAATTCCTGACGAAAGGGGGCTTAACACAAGCGTTGGTTAGTCGGTAGACTATGCATCCTACACGGTACACTACATACCCCCGCAGGAGGGGGTCCAACCCCCCCCTCCTGTTTGACCCCGGTTGGGTCGTCTAGCTAGTAGAAGTGGAGGATAGGGACCAGAGGGGCAGACGACAGAGTCCAATGATGGGAGAAAAAAAATATGTATACCTCGGCAGCGTGAGCTATATAGTTAAGGTTGGTTCATGTCCAAGCTTACAGGAGTGCTCTGGTTGAGGTGTATTGTATGCCCTCGCTGATGCATCTGCTGTCCATTTTGTGTCGCTTCACCTCTCTCCCAACAACAGCAATGCTGAAGTTGTTGGTGGTGATTACGCGTTGCGTACACTTCAAATTCAAAGGACACTTGAAATGTCTCATGCTGGAGTACTTCAACTTGGTACTCAAAGTAGCCCCATTCAGCCTTTTGCACCCCGCATTGTCAGAAGCACCCGTCCCACTCTCTGGCGCACGCGGTTTTCGATTGAGCTGTTGCATGGCTTATGTTCTGCGCCGTCCTGGTACCGGTCGTGCTACTTGACGTTGTTCAGTTTTGGCGCTGTGCATGCGTTCCTGAGAGCCTTCTGCTTGTTGCCTTGCAAACGCCGTGTGCCAGCACGGCTGTTGTTGTTTTCGGCGAAGTACATTCATCTCCCCAACTTACGACTGGTTCGGTTCGTAGCACGGCCGAGTGGTGTCTTGGCCGCCACCTTCAACGAGAGGTACAGTACGTTTATTCCGTAAGGGCTGTGGATAACTATCTCCCACCGCGCCCCCTCGTTCCGTAATTAGATGTGTCGCGGTGCTGGGGACGCCGCAAGTGCTTTCGGAACTGTCCTTGAACTTGACTCGGACAGGACGGCGGGAGGAACTGGCCCTTCGAAGCAGCTCCCGGCAGCGGCAGCGGGGGCGGACTCACGATCGTCGCTGGCCCATGGCCATCATGGTGATGGTGGTGGGGACGGGTTGGAAGCCACGGAGAGTGCGGAAGGAAAAGGCGGAGCAAAGCCGGAGGCTAGTGGTGGCGGGGACGGGCCAGCGTCAACCGCGGGTAGGAAAGCAAGCGGGGAGTCGATGCGAGCGAAGCTTCTGGCGCTGCAGCTGACTGAATGCGCCAACGAGATGGAGGAGCACCTGAGGGTGCAGGTACGGAAATGTCGATCGATAGTTTTGTCTTGTGGCGGGCGGTTTGTTATCTTCTCCATGCGTGTTATTGTTGTGCAATACCATAATACATGTAACATACCACACGACATGTAACATACCACACGAGCCCTGGCGTCGGAGTATACCATGCGCCTTGTCCACGGGAGCTCGCTTCTTCATTGCCACCTGTCAAAAAGCATTGAAACAGAATCGGGTATTCGTTCGTTTTGTGGCGGGGAGGACCAGATATCAAGACCGTTCATTCGCCCTTCTGTTTTTGGGGACCGAACACCCGCGGCTTCCCTCCCCTGTCTCCCCCACCTCCGATTGCTGTCGTATCTCCTCGTTTCTCGTAGGTTGTGAAGCCTATTGCACGGCTGTTGGAAGGTCGCAACGACGTGCAGGTGAGCTTGATGCACACAGACAGCTCACATCCGGACTTGCATATGTCCAGCTGTGTGTGAACAGATGTGCTGAGTAACTTGGGCCAACACGTTTAGGATGGACCCTTCGTCCTGCGTTGTTTCTCGTCATCAGCTGCAGAGGGTATCTCCCTCTTCCCCGAAGGAATACCCTGCACATGACACGTGTATGTTGCGAGGAAAGTGCCGGAGGGTAACCTCACACACCGATAGCAGCAGCATCGTAATGTGGCGATTTTAAGGTTAGACAGCCGGGGAATCCGTCGCGGCAGGTACTACGTGGTCTAACAATCCAACACCCCTCTTCACATCGCCCCCCTCTGATGTCCTCTATCACACACCCTTACCCTCCCCCCCCATCGTAATCCCATCCCCTGATGCCTTCTTTCAGGCCGTCCTCCGCGAACGATTGCTCATCGCTGATAGACTCGCTGAGGCTCACAGCGACTACGCCAAGTCCGTTTCACGGTACCAATCTTCCATTTTCGACAACGTCAGTGGAGGGCCGCCGCCGGAGGTCGTGGTGTTGGGGGATAGAGTGGTGGGGGCTTCGGACGCGTTTGAGGAGGCGCACGGCCGGGCGGAGGAGGTTCTGACGAAGCGGTTGGAAGAAAGAGGGCGGTGCCTGCGAGAGGCCGCGTCTTCGGTGAGAAGCTTGACGTCATGGTGGTGTGTGCTGTGTCTTGAGAAGACCGCAAAAGCGCTCTTCAACCCTGATGCTGCGCTGAAATCTTGCCGAGCTTAGTCCAGGACGGCGCCCCCGACCATGAGCAGATACTCTTACCTGGTTCAGAGCAGTTGTCTCACACAAGCTTTTCGGCTCTCTGCATTCGGCTCTGTGAGGGAGGTCGAATGACGCGGATGCGATTTGCATGTTGGGCATGTGTCCGAAGGTCTGCGGCCCTATCTATGCCTTTAGACTCTCTAGGGAAGTCAAGAGACACGGACGTGGTGCTTCTGAATGGTGCAGGAACCAAGAGCGGTGGGGTGGTATCGGGTAGTGTGATGTTGCCTTTCGACCTTGTGTTGGCTTGTCCTTGATGTGTCTCTCCTCCCTGCCCACCTGCCATATCCTTGCTTTCCACGGACTGCTGCCCCTCAGCTCAAGGCAGCGCAAGCGGGTTTCTTCGTGCGGGCGAGCCGTTGCGTTTCTTCGTCGGTGGCGTGGGAATCAACCGATGACGTTCTGTCACGGGCGACGGGGGACCTTAAGGTGACACCAAGTACTGCTTATTCTTGTGTCGGATGCGTTTCACCGCGGACAGAAGTGTTGCATTACAGTTTACGCCTGCGGCGCTGTGGTGCATCGGAATTGTGGAGGGGGGGGGGGGGGGTACTCATAGTCGTGCATGCCGTAGTCGTTAGACCATTGACCTCGCATCCCTACAAAGCCGGGACGGAGCACGCCGGGTTCTCACCGGACCAGGCTCTCACATCACCAAGCGCGAAGCGCCGTGAGATATTCGGCGAGTCGCATGAAGGGTGCGCTGCATCCTGCTAAGGGTGTTCGGCATCTTGTGCTTACTTCCTTGCATACGGATGACAACTGCGTATGACTTTATTTATTTTCTGGTGCTTTCACTTCCGGCAGAGAGTGAGTTTTTTTCTCACTAAATAAATCCTGGTCCAGGATTTTNCGAAGCGCCGTGAGATATTCGGCGAGTCGCATGAAGGGTGCGCTGCATCCTGCTAAGGGTGTTCGGCATCTTGTGCTTACTTCCTTGCATACGGATGACAACTGCGTATGACTTTATTTATTTTCTGGTGCTTTCACTTCCGGCAGAGAGTGAGTTTTTTTCTCACTAAATAAATCCTGGTCCAGGATGAAAGCGACGCGCTGCAAAGCTCGTTGTTAGTAAACCATAATCGACTTCGTAAGTCGCGAGGGAAGGGATTGCTGTACCCTTTTCGCGATAAATATACCTCAGGCATGAACCGCAGGAGGGGGTCCAGCCCCCTTCTCCTATGTGACCCCGGTTGGGTCGTCTAGCTAGTAGAAGTGGAGGATAGGGGCCAGAGGGGCACACGACAGAGTCCAATGATGGGAGAAAAAAAAAATCTTCCTGAGACAGTTGTAAGAACTGTGTAACTTCCTCGAGGGTATTGGCTTGTTTTACAACGTCGTTGCCAAGCGACGAAAACCCAATAACGATGGCAAACACCGAGGGGGGGGGGAATTGTGGNGCACACGACAGAGTCCAATGATGGGAGAAAAAAAAAATCTTCCTGAGACAGTTGTAAGAACTGTGTAACTTCCTCGAGGGTATTGGCTTGTTTTACAACGTCGTTGCCAAGCGACGAAAACCCAATAACGATGGCAAACACCGAGGGGGGGGGTAATTGTGGAGGGGGTGTGTGCGGAATATCTGGGTCGCACAAGCTACTCTAGTACGGTGACGACCTTGGTATGTGTCTGATACAACAGCTTTTTGCTGTCGCTAGCACGCAATTTGTGCATGTTTTCAGTTCCCTCGAGCCTCGACCCACCAGTCCCATTCTATCATCGACTCGCATAAGTGACAACCCCTACCCTCCCCCAACATGTTTCTTTCATTCCTCAGAACACTACCCGCTCAACAGCAAAAGACACCAGGAAACCACCTGCGGCGAGCCATGTAGCGAAGCCCGAAGCGGTAGTGGTTTCTACCGATGCAG